GGTGTTGTGCTGTGGTGTGGTGGTCGCTGCTGTTTTGAGTTTGAAAAGGGGTTTCTAGGGTGTGTGGTTCTGGAGGCGTTCGAGGCGTGCACGTTTTTGTTTGCAAGTGCGGCGTGCAAATAGGCGTAGCCCAGGAAACAGCCTTACCGGAAAAAAAATCCGCGCAAACAATCGCAATTCTCGTGCTTTCGAGTTACCCCGGAGTACATTACCGCAAGAAAAATAGAATCCCATCTACTGCACGGGAAGATCAACTACATTGCTGCACACCACAGTAAAATGCCAATCAATGTGCCCTCTAGGCAGACAGGTGAACACTTGCAGCAATGGAATTCTCGAGAACAGGAGTTTGAGCGCCGTTTCACTCATGTTTTCTCCCATTTCTCTGTCTTGTATTTGCTTTCTCATGTTCATTTTATAGTAAATGCGATTCGTGCCATGTTCATTTTGGCCGCTTGTTCTTTGCTCCTTTGTTGCCTGATAGACGGCTTTCAAGATTTTCGTGGTTGACATTACATGTGGGCCCCTGTTGTGTAGGAGTAGTTTTCTAATTTTTGTCTGTGACTCGTTGAGTTCCATAGTTCGTTCTTCTGTGGATGAAGAAGGCGGCGCTTGCTTGTTGCCTGCCCTTTCTGCTGATGACGTCATTGCTTGGCGCAGCGCTGGACTTACGTCGTCGTCTTGAGACCACGAGAGCCTGCCATAATGTGCGTAGATGCTGTCTGGTTTTCACCCTTTTTTTTGCCACCTGTTTGATTGACGGACGTGATGGTCGGTGGATGTGTCGCGCACTGTTGTTGTGCGGTGACCACACGCACGCGTGAGGAACAAGGTGGCAGCAAGCAAACGAAACAGGGCCCGACGTGCCACGGTGTGATTTGACCGTACAGGTTATACCGTGAAGACCAGTTACGGAACAGAATAGAAGTAGTACATTTCTGTGCAATACTGTGGTGACTGCTTACCGTGCAAGGAAATTAGCGTGGTGACCAATTACCACACGGAATCTACCGTGGTCGCTGGAACTGCCCAAAAATTACTGTATTGAATGGTAGTTTCTGTTAACGCGGGAATGGTATCGACATGAAAACCTGGTAACGAAGACAGATCTGAAAAAAAGGAAGAAAACAATGGCCTTACGTGCCTAAAAGGATGGGAACTCAAGGGGGGGGTAAGCGCTCCCGAATACGGACGTGCCCATGCAGCAATGGTGTTCGCAGAGGAGAGAATTCATCACACTAAAACTCCCCCTCGATCTGCCTCACCCGTAACAGGACCACCAGCGCCGACAAACCCGCCATCACCAGCTGCAGGTTGCCCCGGGAGAAGGGAGTCTCCATCCCTCGTCAGTGCCTCCAATCGTTGGTCAGCAGACCGCGACATCGTCTTCAATAGCCACACACACAGTATGTGTCCAGGAGACAGGGCAGATGGCCAGCGGGAAACAAGTGCCAAACGCAAGCGTTCAGATTTGAGTTGCATTAGACTATAGAAGATTCCACGAACATTCAAACATTTTCTGAAAATTTCTTCGCCTCCGTGAGAAAGTTGAGGCAACTCGAACTCAACAATTCTTGTCCCCAACTCTCCTCGGCAATTTGTCATCATTGTTCCCCCGACTTCCTCGGGTGCCGTGAAAGTTCTTGAACACGGTTGAGTGTTGTTGTGAAATGAATCAATCAAGGGTGTGCTTAGAAAAGTACTAGGGTTAAGGATTAGCCCCCCGCCCCTCAATGGGGCGGGCAGCTACAAGAGAAGGAGGGCGGTGAAGGTTTGGGAGGAAGTGAAGTGTACGAAGAAGGAAGACGATCAATGAAGGGTGGTAAGAAGGAACGGAGTAGGAGACGCGGAGGCAGGCGTGAAGACGGTCACGAAGGGCGAGAGGGCACAGGTGTATTGTAGCGGTTGCCGAGATTGACGCAATAGAAAAACATCATCACTCTCGTCATTCATAAGACCTTTCAGAAGTAATACAGTGTGACGTCACACGCATGACCATTGGCCCTTTTTTTCGTCTCTTCACGCAACGTTCGTTCAGGCGTGGAGGCCTTCACGCGTCGCCCATGCAGTTGCACCAAACTGCGCTGCCAAACAAACCTCTTTCAAATATCGTAAGCCATCGAACTGAAGGTCTTCATTGCAACTTTGCTAGTTGGCTCGTTCGTCTGTCGCGCCCGAAGAATACGAAAGAGGCCCACCGCACTGACTGCTTGGCTGCTGTGACGTTTTTTCTGGACACGCCACATCGATCACCCTGCCACACTACGATCACGCGGTCGCAAACACCGATCGCGACGGAACCTTTGGCATGCGCCTTAGCGCTGAGCTATTTACTTCTGTATCCGTTTGCCTGTGGTAGGCTGACGTTGACAGGGGTAGATCCTGTAGCGTGCTGCGCAGCGCCTGAACTCTCTTGCTCCGAGCAGTTGTGTACCATGGTATCTGTTGTCGTTTGAAAACGTTCAACCAGAATCTCAACAGAGAACGTCTGTTGCGAGGTGCTGTGCTATCGAGCAAAATGTGTGTGTGTGCACACGAGCCTCTTTCCACCCTCCGCCTGCCATTGTTCCTGCCACATGGTTGGGCTCCCTCTGGCGAAATACCGTAAAAATGATACAAGATAACACACCCCGGTGAAAACATTTTTGGGTTTGAAAATATTATCACCGGGTGTGGTATCCTGTGGGGGGTGTGTTATCTTATGCACCCCGGGTGAAAAAGTGCAGCTCGCAGGGGCCCCTAAGGAGGTGTGATAAACCAGGGGGTGTGATGGCACGTCCGAACAACCACAGGGCGTATTTGGGGGTGTGACAATGAGGGGGTGTCCACCAACACCAGCTGAGAGGCTTTAAGGGTGCGTGTTGACTCGTCTACGGTACTCGCACGTGCTGCTGAGAGCGAGTCAGCAACTGGCTGCTGGTGAGGCGAGGCGGTGGCTGTTATGTTGGCGCCTGTTGTCGTGCCAGCTGCTGTTGTTAGATCAACACCAGGAGGAGGAGATGTCGCAGCAGGAGCCGCTTGCGTAGAAGAAGTTTGATCGGGATGAAAGAACGAGGTGATCTGTTGCGCCTGTGCTGCTGCGGTCGAAGCAGTTGTGGAAGAAGCGGAGGAAGTTGCGGCGGCAGTCTGCTCTTCTTCCTGCACATTTATGTTGTTGGAGGTCTCCATGCGGGGCATTTCCCACACATTGAGGGTGTGTGTTGTGAGTGATGCCCAGGGGCAGATGCTTTCACCCAAGTGATGAAAGGAGGAGCTCCATGAATATATGCGACGTAGCCTTAACTTTTCACCGGGGTGTGTTATCTTGTGTATCCCGGGTGATAAATCGATGGTTTGTCAGAAACGCCCAAAAATATCACTGGGGTGTCGTATTCTGTGGGAGGTGCGTCATCTTGTGTCATTTACGCCGTTGTTCCTGCCACACGTTTGGGCTCCCTCTGGCGTATACACACGGTTATTTGTGTCGTTTGCAGTGCGTATAAAGCCCACGGGCTATCTCATGGGGCGCTCGGCCAACCAGCAACTGTTCCTGAGAACATCAAAATCTTTGCGGCCAATTCATAAAAAAAACAAAAACACAAGTTCCTCAAGATCCAGCGGACTTCCTCGGGGTGATAAAAACTGCCGCGATGAATCAAGAATATGCTCTTTGAAAACTCCGTCAACAGCTTGCGGCTGGTGGTACTTAACCGTATGGGTCTACAGGCGTCCTGACAGATCATTGATTGATCATTTGGAAATGCTGGTGTGGTGGCATGCCATGGAATTGCCGCCCTGTTTCCCTCCACGCCAGGCGTTGGCAAGTCCATAGGTAGGTATGTATTTTTATTAACATCGACCGCGCTAACCGGTGACGAGTGAAAAGACAGTAGTGCCAGCGAAAAAACAAGGTCCCTGGAACGGTACCAAAACTCGAAAAATGCACAATGCGTAATATGCGAATGCCACAACGAATCTCTTCCCTATTCTTTCACAGAGACACACATTACATCTATCTCCACATACATGCCCTCGCCTGAACCTAGGAAGCCACTGAAGCAAAGAGCGGAGGCAGCGAAAAAGGGCATTTCAAGCCCACCCAGGCCAGGATATCGTGGTGTATGCTGCATGTTCTCCAAATTTGAAAATCGTACACTCCGAAGATCCAGCAGTCATCATTTCAGCAGCTACATGAATACTACATAGCAGCAGCAGCATAGACGAGTCCAGTAGTTTGTAACACATTCATACATCATCATAGCCCCACATAACTTCGCCCGAACCTAGGGAGCCACTGATGTAAAGGTAGATATATGATGGTGTGCTTGCCTGCTTGTGGGAAAGTTGTGGAATAATCACAGGAGTTGGAGTGAGCCGGCAGGGCTAATATTGGGAAGGGAACAGAGAACTACATAAGCACAAAAACCAGCTCTGGCTGGCTACGGGTCTGCAAACCCCCTCTCTATTCATTTTCACTACAATCTATTGAATATCATACTCCGGAAATATAAGATCGGTTGGGAAATCCGGAATATAAGATTGGTTTCTACAATGAGGCCATATAGAGGTTGCGGGAGGTCGGAGAGGCTTCATGTTGCAGCACAGAACAGGATTGAAAAAAAAATCGCTCAAAAAAAAGGGGGATGGTTCGCTGGTATCCCCGGGTTTAGGGTCAGGGTTTTAGGGTTAGGGTTAGGGTTCGGATTAGGGCATCAACAATCCCGTTGTTGCTCCCAGCGAGGAGGTGCCGAATCACCACCTCTCTTTCCAAACTGTTGAGATTCTTGCGTTTTGACACCTGGGAGGCACCCCCAGCAAAGGACATGCCGCGCCAGCAGATGGGAAGGCTCTTGACCGGAGGTTCAAAGTTGGGGTGTTGATTTCGAGTGGCTTCTGCTGGGGTAGGACCAACCTTTTAGCGGGACTTGTCAAAAAGAGCCCGGTTCTGTGTGTCGAGGCGAAACCAAGGAAAAAAAAGGTTCGCGAAAATATTGTAATGGGATCGAGATAGCCCGCATCTTGTCCGAACCGATCTTATATTTCCGACCAGAGGGAGTACTGAAAATGGAGTAGTTTAGGCAGCTTGACTTATCTTTCCAAGTTCTACAAGCCTAACCTGCCCTACCGGCCGCACCGCGACCACACATCAACCCTTCTATAGCCCTGGCACACTCATCGAGTGCGACCTGAGTTCTTGACGTATCGCTCAAATCAAGGGCTCCCAGTAACCCTACGCTGAAGGGTTTGCTATTCTGCACGCTGGCTGTTGATAATAGCTCGGCACGCGCGCGTAAAAACAACATATCGCATCACACCAAGCATTGTTGTTCTTGTTGTTGTCTTCACATTAAAAACCGTTCCGATCCCTCTCTATCTACCCAGTACCTTCGTATGTCCGTATTGATCCAACACTCGACGCGCTCGATTCCCGTGGTCGCAGGCTAACTTACCCTAAAAAGGTACACTCAAATGAAATGGCCCCGAGGGGTCCGCAAGTCAATAGAAATCAACGACAGATATTCTGGGGTCCTCCACTCCTTCTGCGCGCTATGCGAGTAACAACTGAGACTAGGAGTCACCATCACGGGCCAGAGAGAATGAGGTACACCCCCTTGGTTCAATCTTGGTACTTCACAACGCAAGCAGAGACAAGGTCATCTGGCACAGAAAAAGAGAGAAAAAGAGAAAAAAAGAAGAAAAGAACAGGTAACAGTAAGGAAAGAGAAAATGAAATAAAAAGAGCGAGGGCAAAACGGGACCAGGCCGAAAATAACAAGAAACAAGCGACAGAAAAAGGCACACGGTGGAGAGACCATAAACGAACAAGCAAACACGCGAACATGGCCACGATACATTGTAATGGTACGTCATCACTAGTGGGGGGTTGGTGCAATGGAGGCGCCGAAACAGGTCAAACCGCCACGAGACAGCAACAAGAGCCGCTTTTTGTCGGAGAGGGGAGGACACCGCAACTGATTTCTCGCTCCCTAGGCCACCGATTGAAGCCAGACCGGCCACGGTGTGCTCTCTGTTCCTTGCTCTCTGCCGCAGTAGATTTGCTCAGCAGCTCGTTGATCCAATAAGACTACCGGGGCGATGTTCCATACTTACACTCAACATTGAGGTAGAGTGTTTAGGTTTGGGTGTAAACCATCGTGCGTCCCCAAAATGGTACCAGTACATTGTATGTATAAAAAAAACAATCTAGTTTTTCAAGGATTTTACCGGTGAGTACTACCGCTGTACAAGACACCCGCCTACACCACTTACCCAACGCACATCATGCTCTACATAAGGCTGGCATCAGGTGCGGTCAAACCCCGCATTTGTCACGTAGCATACTCAGCTCACGTCCCCAGGTGCAAAACGAACGGCGCCATTCGAGCCAGATAAAGAATGTCAAACCTCAATATTGCTTGTTTAGGGTGGCAAACATCCGCAGGAGTTTTGGTGTGTGGCAGCATACAGTGCACATGGAAAACAGGCTAAACGCTCAGCACATGGCGAATTGTGCGTGTTGCACAATATGTGTGTGTGTCGCGTAAGGATCTACGCTATTTGGCGCAATGTGTGTCGAACTGTTCTGCAGTGCAATCCGTTGGCGGTCATGAGGAGCTTGGGGCTGCTGCTGTACGCAGCCGCTCACGAACTCCGACGTTTGTTTAATACCACTGATAAATTTCGGATGAGCCGTTTGTGCTGTCTACCTGTCGCAAGCTCACATGCTACTTGATTGGCTTTCGCGGGGGGAGAAATGACCACACCAACAAAGTGAAAATTGTCGCCCGCCAGATTCCGAGGTGTTATCGCCAAGAAAATACTACGGCCGTGCAAGGATGTCCAGCTGTGGACGAGCATCAACCAGGAATTGTTGTTGAAGTGTCGACACGTACCCATGTAACCTGTTGAGGGACAAGTTCATGTTGTACCGCTTTGGGAACCATCAGGCAACTCCATGGCAAATCGGGGCAGATAACGGAGAGGGCGGATCCCCAGGGCATACACCACCAGGGTCGCCGAACTTGGGGACGGACAACGGCAAGTCAGGCGAGGGGCGCAACTGACTACTCCGCCGGGCACACCACCGCCTAGCCGGGATGTAAGATGAAATTTGGGCATACTGTGTCAGGAGCTGGAATCGAGTTCGAACAAGAATTCATCTGGTAGGGCGCGCCGAAGAGGCAATCAAGGTCCATCCTGCCAGTTGCGATGATTCAAACCATGACCATGAGAGTCACACAGCATCCAAGACAGCGAACGATAGCTCCGAATAACGGCCATGATTAGGCGGGTTGAGGGGGGGTTGTGTCGCATCGATACGCTGCAAACTCAGCGAGCAATGTGTGATTGAATCTTGCGTGCTGATGTAGGAAAGCCGAAGTACAACAGCTGCCGTTGAACAGCGTAGACAGAGAAAAAGTTTCACTGCGATGACTCTCTCTCTCAACTTAGAGCAGATCTCGCTCAAAGAAGGTATACCGTGCTCTGCTGGATGTCAGCTTTCTACCAAGCTACTGCTTGCATCGCCAAGCAGTCTGTAGGTGGCTAGCCGAGTGTCGAAATGAAGGCATGTACGATTCTCGAGCGTGTGGCAAGCCAGCTTGTGTTCTGGATGGCGTTTTCGATTTTCGATTTCGAGTCTGTTCGTGCTCGCTTTTGATCTTTTTATATCGGAGAATATTCACCGACACCCTCAGCGTGGCCCTTGTCAAAAAATGGTCCGTCCAAAATCGATTTTGGGTTGGCTCTACACAGCGCACACGGGATTACAGCGAGACATCTACATTTACTGGAAGTCATTCAATCAAACAAGCTAAGACCGTATTCTTCGGAGTTGGCCACAGCCCCGACTTCCCAAAGGTGGTCAACTCGAGGTATAATTGCAACATGGCAAAGACGGCACGACTGTAGTTGTCACGCTCTCGACACGTAGCCAGACAGCAAGAGTCTCCATACTCGCACACAGCAGTGTGCACGTACCGCAAACACACAACGGGTTCCCACACATCATATGTCCTCCTTGCACGTTGACCAACAGCACCGCAACAAGTAGCAGTAGCAGCTACGGATACCGGTGCCGCAAGGATACAATATTAACCCGCCGCAAACGTGCCGCCGTTCCCTGTGGTGTTGTCAGAGGGTGTTCCAGGCCAGGGCAGCTCCGCGGTACAGTGTGGGAGTCTCTCTTAAGTGCCCGGTATGTGCCCTTACAATTCACCGGCACGATACCGGACCCGCAATATTCAAATTTCTGACAACGACTTGGAAATTCAGTGTGCGCCCGCCGAAAACACCGGCACTATTCCGGGCATGGGCACTGTTCTACCGGCACTAAACAGGGACCCTCACTCCGCAGCAGCCCAATCTCTACATCTCCACAAAGGTACAAACCACCGAAAACCTCAAACACCATGTATTCTCTGTAATGCCGTAGACTCAACCCCACTTCTGGGTCTGGTTTGTGGAAACGCCAAGAGGGCTCGCGGAGCCGGATTCTGGAAGCACGGCTACCCCCCCCCCCCCCCC